TGCCAAAATTTGGGCGGGATAGGGCTGTGCATGTCACGGCTCCTGACCACCTTGAAACTGAGATCCCAGGAAGCATCACCTGATAGCTGTTGACCTTGAAATATTCATGGGCAGGACAGAGCTCTGCAGCCGAAAGCAATCTGGTCAGGGTGAATTATTGATCATGTCTTTTCTTGTGCATGCCCAGTGGAACCAAGACACATCTGACTCAGTTCAACCCTCCGCCTGCCACTAATTATCCCTGCAGGTCACTTGCTCCAAAGCTGGGGTCATTGCCAAGCACTGGAGTTGAACTTGGTGATGAAAATACCCGTGGCAGGAGGCTGGGAGAGGCAAGGCTCCCTGCTTCTGTCAGGCTTGGGCACCTCGCTGGTCAGCCTGTGCTGCTCAATGGTGCAAATGTGTCTGCTTGGCACCGTTGCTGCTCATGGTGGCTTTCCAGAGCTGCTGTGGCTAGAGAGAGGTGGAAATTAGTGCTGGGAGGTGCATCCCAGCACCATCCTGCATGGCCCTAGGAAGCCCAGCAAGGCTCTTGCTATGATCCCAGTCTTCCTAGGTCAGAGGAAAGAGGAATCTCCCAAGGGATGGTTACCCACGTAGGATCTGACTCGCCTTCGGATGTGTATGTCTCCATCCTTGGTAGTCGTGGAAGACCGGTGTGGACAGTTCATAACCTTCGTGTCCAAGTAGATAAGGAGGGTCCGAAATTGCTAACTCAAGTGTGGCATTTGGGCACACATCTTAGGGGTGTCACACACTGGACCAATTATTCCATCAGCATAAACAGGGAAATCTGGGGTCCTTTTCATCCTGAGCAAACAAAAGTGAAATGATTTCCCAAAGACTATCAGTCCCTCTCAAGTTCCCCCCATCCTTTTCGCAACCCTGCCAATGTATCATTAAATTGCTAGGAAAAATGCATCCTGAGGACTCTGAAAAGGAGGAAAATGGCTAGGAAAAGGTGCTCAAAGCAATGGATGGGATGCTGCTGTGAGTGCCAAGGCAGAGCCTCCAGCAGCTCAAGATATTTCTTGGAAGCTCTTAGTGCCTAGACTGACCCCAAACTGTTCCAGTGTAGATCTTCCAGACCTAGCAGGAGCAATGGATGATGCCAGCTGCCAGGGTGGTGACAGCTCTCGTGCCCTCTGCCAGAAGTGCAGATCCCGTCACCAGCCGGGTTTTTCCTGGGGAGAGTGTGAGCGGAGCACCCTAGGCTGGGTGCACGCAGCTGAAGTTATCACCCATCAGCTGTCTTGGAGCACTCTGTGGCAGGGAACTCTGGCTTGGACACACCACCACCCCTCCTTGGAAGGGATGTTCTCATCACTTGGCTTGCTGGAAGCCTGCCTGCACTCACCAGGTCCATGTTTCCCCTGCTGCTGGTGGGCTGCTTCAAGAAGCCTGACACTGGTTTGTTTTTTTCTCTCTGTCTCTTCGGTGCCTCACTCAGGATTAAGTTTAACGATGGATACAAGTCAGTAGCAAGGTACCAAAATGTCATGACTGGTGGGATCTTGGCTTTTTGGGGGCGGTTCCTCTCATCCCAGCCCATCCTAGTCACCCTACATCCCATGTATATGTGACTGTCTAGGTGTAAATACACCCGCAGGGATACAGACCAGTCTGGTTTAAGCTCCAAATCTTCCTTAATTCAAATTAATTCCCAAATCTTAAGCCAGGAGAGCAGGGTATGTGGTCCAGACCACGGTGAAGGCAATGCTTCAGGCACCAGCATCACAGAACTGCGTCTCTGCAAGTGCAGGACAGCACATGAATGTTCTGAAGCTGGAGCTGAAGCCTGCAAGGGAGGAAGAGATATAAGGTAGCATGAGCCCTGTGCTCCAGGAGCCTTCTGTGCGACCCAGCCACACCTGCAAACCTCCTCCATGTCACATTGCAAAGGAGAGGCAGGTCCTGTGGTCCCTCTACAGCCGAATCCCACGTAATATGATGATGATCACCCTGTTCATAGGGCTAGTGGACTCCCAAAAGCACCGTGAATCAGAATGCATCTGTATAAATAAATTTATCTGGCATGGGTGAGTTCAGGACAATGGTCCCAGCCCCAAACCATCCCTCTAAGTCTGTTCTTCATTGCTCTGCTCAATATTTGGAGGGAGGTGGAGAGGATGCAGAAGAAACCTGCAGAAGAGTGTTGGCCTGCCACTGGCAAGCAGGACCTGAGTGGTTGCAAAGAGCTGTGGGACGATGTCTCCTCAGCACCTCGCCACGCAGTGCTGGCCGAGGCCAGAGTAGGACCTTGCCCTCTGGTGTGCATTGCGCCGCATGAACCTTCTCAGCATCAGCCCAGGGGGATCCTCCCGGGGGTGATGGTAGCCACTAGCCCCTTCCCCTGTCTTGGCCAGCTCCCATCTGCCCTGGAGGGGGGGGTATGTCTGTTTGGGTGGGTTTGTTTCTTCCTCACGTTCATCCTCCTGGCTGTGTCTCTTCCAAACAGTGAAGACCCTGAAGATCCCAGGTACTGGGCATGGTATCCCTGCTTCGCTCAGGCCCTTTGGGCATGGTGTGTGCATGCACGTGACACGCGTGTTGGCGTACCAATCCCTGCATGGCATTTGGACCCAGGGAAAGGTCCTAACTGCTTCCTGCTCTCTTCCTAATGGGGGGCAGAGGTGCCTTGTGTTCACCCCATCCCCTCCTCCCCAAAGATCAGGGCTTCTTTGTATTTGGCCTGTTCTCCCCCATGCCCAGCAAGGACACATCTTCTTCTGCTCAGGTGCCTTCCAAAGGAGCTTTGAGGATAATATCTGTCTGTCTGCCTAGCTATCCACCCATCCATCCACCTGTCCATCCATTCATCCCAATGCAGTTATCACCATTCACCAATCTGTCCATCAATCCATCTCAATACCAAGCCTATGCATCCATCCATCTCATTGCATTTCTTTCCATCCTTCACTGCAATTCTCACCATCCATCCGTCCATCCATCCATCCATCCCAGTACAGGTCTGTCTTATCTGTCCATTCATGCCAGTGCCATTCCATCCATCCATCCTGCTGTGATACTGTCTGCCCATCCATCTATGCATAACACCAGCCAGCCCAGTGCCATACGATTTAACCATCCATGCTCTTTTTCTGTCAGTTGTTCTATCTTGTTCATGCACTCTCTCCTCCCTCCTCATTCCAGCACCACCAGTACTGTCCTTATCTCTGTACCCAGTTCCCCAGATGCCAGCGGGTTAGGAAGTCCTGTTGCAGCAAGATCTCCCTCTGGCATGCTTGCGAATTGGGTTTGGTTGATTGCTTGATGCATGTTGCTGATGGGGGTTTTGAGGTGAGAAGGCGGGCAAGGGTCTTTGTCACTGCGGCAGGACGAATCACGTCTGAATGAATTGCTCTTTGTGATTGCAGAGCTAAGGCTAAGGGGAAAGAGAAAAGACACCTCGTGTTACCATTCAGGTACCCTGACTCCCCCCGTCCCTGCTTGTGCACAGGCTCACTTTCCAGCTCCAGCATCTAGCCCTTCGCAGCAGAGTCACTGCATCCCCCTGAAGCGGCCGCAGGGCAGGACCACAAGTTCATCTGTGAGACTGCCTGAGACCAAGTTGCTTGAAGTCATAAAATGAAAATTCTCTGGTGGTGCCGCTAATGGGAAATCCGTGCCCTTTCCAGGCACCCAAAGCCCAAACTGCGGCTGTCTGCAGTCAGAGGCACCTTTTGCAGTGAGGGCTGGCGTGGAAGGGGCAAGGGATAAAGGAGGTGAGGGAGAAAGAGTAATCTGATGTTAGCTGCTCCACCAAGCCCTTGGAGAAGGATCTCTGGACCCCTCACGTACTCCAATCGGCTCGTTCACCCAGGCACCGACGATCCGAGCGCCCAGGGCCAGCAGCACCGCGCGTTGCTGCGTAGGGAGCTGGGAGAGCAGAGTCGCAGGAGGAGGGAGATGCTCAGAGCAAAAAGGCGGCCGCAGCTATGTTCCTGCATCCCCCATCCAGGCCACGTTTACACCAGTGAAATGAAGAGGGAAAGGATGCAGGCTCACCCACCCGAGGCTGCTGCTTCCCATCCTGGCATGGGGGAGGACGGGACACTCTGGCAGGGAGCTCAGACCACATCCATGAGCTGCCAGAGAAAGCATGGAGTGATTTAAATCCTCTCCCAGCACTGGGAGAGGGGCACTAGGGCAGCTTTTACAATGCAGATAAACCAGCTGAGCTGCTGGCATTGGTGTTTGCTTGCTCCCCTGACAAGCTCAGCTGGCAAGGGAATAATTTCTGCTGGTCCAGCCCTGGCTCCAAGCTGATCCCTGCCCATGCTGGGTTGAACAGAAGGACCCTGCTCTTCCCAGACTGCCACCCAGTGCTGGGTCCTGCCCCCTGTTTTGTGCTGGAGCTGGTCTTCTGGACTTCATGTCTCTAAAAACCCATCCAGCAACACCTCAAACTATTTTTTTTTTTTTCTGGGTGGTTTTCCAGCAGCTCAGTGCACAGAGAGCCTGAGGTCCGTGCTCTGAAGTCATCCTCCTGCCCCGTGTCCCCAGCACAAACATGGCCATGGGGTGCAGCAGGGTGACAAGCTGTAATTAAAAAACAGCCCTCCTAATTACTTTCTAGAGCTGGTTAATTGCTTTCTCCTCCCCACTTAGCTGATGCATAATAGAGGGAGATTAGCCAGGGAAGAAAGAGTGACTGGGGAGGAAAACAGGGAGGCAGGACTCACACAGAGAAATGTCGGAGCCATGAGAGGAGGAAAACAGGTTTGAAAAGCCAGAAGGCGGAGCAGGGGTCTGCAAAGTGAAACAGGGAGGTGAGGAGTTGGTGGTTCCTGCACGGTGTCAGGGCAGAAGGATGCAGTGTGAGTCTGGGCAGGGATGAGGACCCCCAGATCCAGCCCATCTCCTCTATCTGAGCCCTCTCTGGAGGGAGGATATGAATACACCTTTGTGGGAGGATATTATGGTCTGATTTGAAGCACTTGAAGTGCACTGAAGCTTGTTTGCCTTTTGTTCCCTTGATGCATGGCCACCGGCTCCAGCAAAGGCAAAGAGAAGACGAAGGAGCACAAGTAGGTTTGCTCTTCTTGCTCCTTCTCCTCCTTCTTGTTTCCAGCTTTCCTAGCTCATGTTGTGGCTGGTCCCGTACGTGGTGTGCTCTCCCCTTCTCTAAAGCTGAGCCTGTCAGCCCTGGAGGAACTTGGGTCTCTTGGATGTGTGGCTTGACACCTTGGAGCCTGCAGAGAATATTTATCTACAGCAAAAGCCAAATGTAAAAGACAGGCTCAGAGCGGTACCGGTAGTGCAGGAAGGGGACTCTGGGTCTTGACAGAAGCCTGGGTCCCACCAGGTTTGGATGGGTCCTGGCTGGGGGGAACGTTTCCCAGCGTGGGCAAGGACAGCCTGGCCAGGGCTCAGGGCAGGAGAGGGTCTGGGTGCAGGTCAGGAGCACAGGGCTGGGCAAATGGCACTTAGCACCAGCTTCACAGCTCCTGTGCCCACAGGTCAGGCTGCCACATCACCCATGTAGACAAGTTTCTTCAGCTCCTGCCTTCCTTTTATCCCCAGCTGCTTGCGTTGATACCAGACCAGGCTGTGTCCGAGCTCTCTCCCAACAGCAGCATCCTCCAGCTCTCTGGCTTAGCAGATCTGCTGAAGTTCAAGCTCAAGTCTCTTGCGAGTGCAGGCTAACATCACGCTGTCCAGGGAATGATCCCTGCAGGGCACTTCCCAATCAGTGAGGTCTATTCTGACTCATATTTATTGCACTGCAGCCAAAGGACCAGTTTATGGCAGTATCTTACTGGTGGGCCCTCCAGATTAATGGTGTAAAGCGAAATGAGGTGGGGAAAGGAGAAAAATGTCTTCGAGCAGTCAGCAAGGAGAGGGCAGACTCCAAAAAAGATGGGAAGAGATGTCTTTGCACCGAGCAGCCTGCTCCGTTGCACCTCCCCAGTTTGGCCTCAGAGGGGAGGGGGAAGAGGCAGACTGGGTCTGAGGGTTGGGGTCTGCCCTGGGCTCAAGGGTGGTGTGCGGAGGTGACCCCATGGGGCTGGCAGTGGGGTCTGTCCCCAGGACAGGTGGGAGAACTGGAAGTCGTGTTAGCAGGGGGTGATGGAGGCAGCACCCACCTGATGGGCATAATTCCTGCGAAGAAATGGGCCATGGAAACCCTGTTCCCTGCTCCCAACTCCTCAGTAAAAAGCAATGATTAAAATGTCCTTTTTAGCTATGAATAATTAACCAGTAACCTGCAACCGTATCTTTAACTAGCAGCTGGCCAGGAGAGAGAGTGAGACTGCTTCCGCCTTCCCGCCCATGTCTCACAATCTGTCTGTCCCTCCGTGCCCCCCCATCCTGGAGAGCCTCATGGCTGAAACCCTTTGAAAGGACAAAGCCAAGTGCTTCTGGGAGCAGCAACTAAATAGAGGATGTCTGCTTTGCCATCGACTGAAGATAATTCATCTGCTCAATCCCATATTAGACACCAGAAAATCCAAGGGGAGAACACTGTGGGAAGCTAGGTGGATACTCTGGTGTCTAATACAGATTTAATCTTTCTCGGAGGCTTGTCCCTACTTGGGAACAGAGTCAAGGTGTTTGGTCCTACACCCCCGTACTTGCAGGAACCCAGTCTTGACCCTACTGCCAAACTGGGTTGCGGTGTGCCAGCAGCTTGCACTGGTTCGGAGGGGAGCAGGCAGGTGGGCAGCAGCCTCTTCTCCAGCATCTCATTTTTTCAGGAAACAAGGCTAAACCCAGTCTTTGGCAAAGGGGGGTCTCTCGGTGCCACCAGCCAGCCTGCATCGGCATCTCAGGTTCGCGGGCCCTCATGTAATATTCATGTGGGGACGGTGTCAGCTCCCCGCCAGCGCCGGCTTCCCATCCGCACCATCGGATGGCTGGCAGGAGCAGCGGAGGGATTGGCACGACCTTTGTTTAATGCTGCAAAGACTCTGCTGTGCCTGGAGAGGAGCTCGGCCGGGGTCCCCATCCCTGCTTGGTCCCGACCTGCACGTGGGGCACGGTTCTGCCCTCGGCACCGGGATGGCCGCTCCACCCTAGACGTGCCGCTGGCCGCTCTCCTGTCTCGGCTGAGCTCTTCCAGCATCTCCTCTTGGGGGAAGGCGAGTCCTGGATGGCCAGCGGGTGAAGGTAGTACCCCCAAGGGATGGGAAGGGGGGTGTATGGGACGTGTTGGTGCTCACCTGGCTTGGAAGAGGTGATAGATGGGGCTTGGGGCTGGGGGGCAAGGGTGAGCCCCTGGGCATCTGCCTCCAAAGCAGCTGGGACAGCTTCTTCCCATCCTTCACTTGCTTCTTCTTTTCTCCTCACCACGTACCAAGTATGCTGCCAAAATTGACTTTTTTCTTTTTTTTTCTTCTTCTTTTTTTCCTTTTTTTTTTTTCTCTTTTCTCAGTGACCTCCAAACTCCATTGTTTCCTAGATATTTGTCTCCCTGGGACTCTGGTCCACTGCAATAATACCAGTAAAGGCAGTAAGGTGAAGGAAGGGGGCAGCGCCAGATGTTGTAGCTGGGGCTGAGAAGAGCAGCAGGGAGATGTGGCTGGGATGTGGGCATGGGCACAGCACCTGAAGCTTCATGCCACTGAGGGACGTTGTTCCCTGTGGGCTCTGCTCTCCAAACCAGCTAGAGCTGAGGCTCGTCTCGTGGATGTGCTAGAAGCTCTCAGGCTATTTCCCATTTCTGGGGCCTCTTCAGCAGCAAAACTGCTTTTGGGGACACACGAGAGGCTCCTGCAGCCAATGTCCCCAGCACATTTACTGAGGCTGAGCTGGCAGTGAGGGGTCATCGCTCCAGGAGGGGAAGGGGGGGTGACAACGTCTCTCACGTGCATCCCTCTGGAAGGAGCTGGGTTGGGCTGGTGCTGCTGGGACGGGTCTCAGTGTGTGCTCCTTGGACCGGGCGCTTAACCCCAGTCTTGTTCCACATGGCCCAAAACCAGTTTCATTGTTTTACTGGTAGGGGCATCAGATGCTGTGCTAGGCTGGACCCAATGCATCCTCAGTGCCCGTGCAAGGACGTTGTTATTTCAGGTCCTGGTAGAGGACCAGCACTGCCGGCGTCTTCCATGCAGAGTCCTACTGGCTCCATCACCAGTTGCTCTTCTGCTTTGTTTTACTTCCCAAGGAACTTCAGAAATTCCTGGGAGAGATGCAGTGATTTCATAACTAACCATCTGCAAGCAAAATGCGTGCGTGCCAGCTCTGGGGCTGGTGGGACTTTTTTTTTCCCCCCTCAATTTTAAAGAAATTAACTTGAAAGAAGGGTTTGTAATGTACCCAACCCTGGAGGTGTGGTGTCTCACTGGGCTGTGTGTCTCCTGGGTGTCCCACAGCCGCTGGAAGGAAACTCAGCGATGGAGAGTGGTCTCAGAGCAAAGTTTCACAGCTTGAGCTGTTACAGCATTTACTCATAAAAAAATGAGTTTGCAAAATAGCTTAAAAGTGTTACTTCCCCCATAGCACCTCGGGGCAGATGTTCCCTGGCAGGATTACAGATACAGAAACCTACTTCTCGTCTTTCCTCCTTCTATCCATTGAGAAACTGCCCTTTCACCACAGATCCTGTGAATTAATCACAGCTACCAGAGACTGCCTTAAGGCCCGAGCATTGCTTTAGTCCCAATTAAACCTCAGCTATAAATAGTTCCTGTATCTTATGCTGGCCTTCTGCCCTGATTGAATTCCCCCCCTCCCTTGGTGAATACATTATCCTCCTGTTCTCCTTAATTTTCTTCTCATTTGCCCTGGCTCTGTCAGCATCCTGCAAAATTCCAGTTGATACGTAAGACAACAAGTGCATCAGGCTGGCTGCAGTGCCAGGACTTCTTTGGTTTGAAAAAAAAAAAAAAAAAAAAAAAAAAGGTGCGAAAAAGGTGCAATTTCACCCTTTGGCCCCAGCCAGATGTGATCAAAGCTGAGACCGAGGGATCCTGCAGCTCCACTGCTGTCACGGATTCACAGACTGGTTGGGGTTGGAAGGGACCTCTGGAGATCTTCTAGTCCAACCCCCTGCTAGAGCAGGATCGCCTGCCTCATGGGCAGCACATCCCAATCCTGCTGCATCCAGGGCTGGTGCTGAGCCCTGGCCCCCTGCCCTGGCCAGCTTGGAGGTGAGGTCCAGGCTGGAGGTGAGGTTCCCCCTTGTTTCCAAGCAGGCCCAAGAACTTGTCCATCAAACCTGCAAGGTTTCTGCAAAGAGCAACGCTTTCAGGTAATGGGAATTTTCCAATAAATAAAAAATTCCCCTTTGGCTTTACCACCTTCTGCTTTTGGGGCAGTCACGGGCCATTGCCTTCAAGTCTCTCTCCAGCTGCTTGCTCTTTAATAGAACAGGGTTATCGCACCGACTTGTGCTTCTTGCTGGTTTCAGTTCTGCAGATACTATGGAGGTTTTTTCCTGCCGCGGTTTTCCGCGAGTTTTTGTCCTGCTGAGGTTTTCAGCTGCATCTTCAGGCTCAAAATCCATGTTACATCCAGACTCCTTAACTCTCACCAGGGTGACTCAGAACCTCCCACCCCTTTGCAACAGCAGCGTGGACTTAACTCCAAATAGCAGGAAACAGTTTCCCTAAAATACCTGCGAGGCTCTTATTGTCTTTAACAAATCTCTGCCCGTTTGCATTTGAGAGCAATCCAGTTGGCAGTGCAGAAATCCTACTATTTACTGAATGCTGTATTTGTATATATTTGCTGTATATGTGTGTAACAAACACCAAGTGACGTAGGAGCCCAGACTGTCAAAACACTTGTGGGTGCACAGGCTGATTTCTGAGCTGGACTAACAGCCCTATCCCTGCTGAAGCATTTGGAGCTAGAAGTTACGCTTCTTAAGCTTGCCTTGAAACGATGGATATTTTTAGAAAGCAACTGGCAAGCCATTTGCAAACCATTATTCTATCAGCCAATCCAGCCCAAACTGCCCCGGGTGAATTTGACCCCAGCCTAGATTGCAGCCTAGATTGCTAAGACTGACCTGGTACTGGTTTTTACCATGCTGGAAGGGGAAAAATCATGTTGCTGCAATGAGCTGCTGAAAAACCTTAGGATCTGCGCAGGTTTGCTGCTGATCTAGCTAAAGAGGTTATCGATTTTTCACAGCAAGGTGGTGGAGGAAGCAGTTGGATGTTTTAATTTTTAGTAAACGGTTTTAGGTAACTGGCCTGGGGAGCAATTGCACAAACGGGTCAGGAGAGATGAGAAGTCTGTGCGCAGGCGAGAGGCACAACTGGCGGGGAAGAGTTTGTTGGCTGCTAACGTTGTCCTCCAGCCTCGTGTTTTATCCCGAGTTGGGGCATTCCCTGAGACAAAACAACGAGACCCAAGACTCAAAGGCAGTGCATTTAGCTGCGATCTTGCCACTGCCCTGTGGCATGTTTGCAGCAGCCCCTGCTTAGTCTTTCAGCTGATATTTCTACTCTTCCTTTTGAGCTGTGAAAGGCTCCTCCTGTTCCCACCCCCAAGTCCCAGAAAACAGCACTGAAAATACAATAACTGATGGTTGGTTGGTTGGGTTTTTTTCTCCTTCTCTTCTTCCAGAGCTGGGAAAGGAGTTTTTTCAGCCATGAAGCTTGGCAAGACGCGTCCATCAAAGGATGACCATCGGAAACAAGGTATGTTGTTCCTGGGAGGAGGTTGTTTCCTGTTCCAGTGCTGTTTTTCCACCATCCCCACATCCTGGGAAAGCACCTGAGAGACTCCAGAGGTGGGTCACATTGGGCACAGCCAGTCAGTAACGCGGAGGTTAGACGGGGAGCGTTGGGTGCTCGGGAGGAGAGCTGGAGAGAGGGGCTCCATGGGGAAATGAGAAGTAGGAACTGATGGAGAGAGGCTCCCGCTGAAGGCTTGACCAGATGTCACCCACCTCGTGCGACTGTGGCAAAACCTGGCAGTCACGCAGGCAGCTTCCAGCTTATTTTTAGGGATGATTTGCAAAGGTGACGATGCAAAGCAGGATTTAGCCCTCGCGCCTTGCAGGGTGCACGGTGCGGCAGCAGCAGCGCAGCGAGAGGAAGGGCTCAGCTGCTGTGGGGCTGCCGGTTCCCCGGGCTCGGCACCGCTGAAATCGGACGCCTTTCTGGAAAGGCACAAGAGGGTCAGCGATCAGAAATTCATTGTTGTTTCCATTCAGACACAAAGATTGGGTTTCAACGGCAAAGAAATGGGGGAACGCGTGTTTGCGGGCAAGGACAAAGCGTTGCTTTAGATATTGTTTCTGGGCAAATCTCCACTGTTTTTCTGCCAGGTTTGAGGGTAGGAAAAGGGGAATTTGGCCTGGGAAAGACACTGGCAGCCTGTGGGAAGGCATGGCAGTGAAACCTGGGTGGCACCCCTCTCTCCCCAGTGCTTGGGTGTTCATCTCGTGGTTAAAGCATCAGGCAAGACCACGGGGAAAGCAGCTGGGATGCAAAGGCAGGAGCAGGGTGCACGGTCAGACAGTGGAGTGTCTTCACAGATGGGGATTTACCCGTGGTAGGGGAACGGTTGCAACGCAGCTGCTATATTGCATGGCATGGTCAGTGCCACGCAGCCACGGGGCTCCTGCTTCCACTTTCCCCCTCCTTCCCTGCACTCCCTGGCAGCTGATATTAACACGGCAGTTGCTTCTTCCCCAGTTGTCCATGCACCTCTGGCTCTCACACACCCTGCCAGGGCTTGGCTGTCTTAACACCCCGCTCCTCTCTCAGCCTCAGTGCTGTCTCGGTTGTGATTCCTACCCTTGGTCTGGCCAGCTGGTGATGGGACGGGGTGGTTGTGTTGCATCCTTCTGTCAGACTACACGCCGCCGTGCTCATCATGCTTCCCAAGGGTCAAGCGTCGGCATGAGGTGCTAGCACAAGGTGTATGATTGCAAAAGTCTTTTCCCAGATCTCCCAGGATCTGGAGGGGAACTCCACGTTGGCCAAGTCAACATCCCTCTTGTACCACGATCTGCTCTCCTTATGTCCATACAGACTGGTGGTCCTGCTCAGGTCAAGCAGATCCACTGAGTCACTAAAAACCAAGCTGGGAAGGTGCGAGTCTGTCCGCCCACCCGCATGCGGGAGGATCAGATCTGCTGAGGTCCTTCCTGGCTGGTATGGCTCTGACTCAATCTCAGAAACTCCCAGTGAGGATGAGGACACCCTTTCCCCACCAACCTGCAGCAGGAAAGATTTTCCTAACATCCAGCCTAGATCTTCCTCACTTCAGCTGAAGCCCATGTTATCTCACAAAACCAGACTATGGTGAAAAACCTGATTTCTGGTCTCCTGGATCATGCCAATCTCTCCGAGCAAGCTACGAGCTTGCCTAGGTTAGTAAAGAGACAGGGAGCCTGTTCTGCTGCAGCAATGTCTGTGCTGTACAGTGGGTTCGGTGCTACCCCGCTGTGCCACCAAAACAAACCAGTGACCCAACAGCTGTACTGGTGTTTCTAACCCAACACAATACAATCATGGCTGCTTTGCACGACACGCACACGGGTTGTGCGCAGGAAACGCAGTATCTCCGCAACTTCTTCCAATAGAAACACAGACCGGTGGACAACACAGCTGTCTCTCACTGCTGATGGGATCTCGCTGCAGCAATTTTTCTTCTTGGGAAATGACGCCTTTCTCCTGTTTTTTCAGACCTCTCTACCCCAAACCTAGACAGTTGTTTGTCTTTGCAACTGCTCTTCTGGTAGTTAGAGCTGCAGCACTTGTTCAAATGCTCTTTCACCCCTTGAGTTCTGGGGTGTTTGCCATTTTCCATTTTCTTTTTGCCATCACAAAACCATATACAGGCATGGTGCCCAGGCAGAACAATGTGTCCCAGGAGGCAATACCTCTTTTTTTAATCCCTTTTTAGACCAGGTTGTCTGTGACCTGACCTGGTGACCATTGTTCTTCCCATTATCAGGTGAGGTTGATAGGACGTATTGGTTACCTTTCTCTTCACTTTTAATTATTCACCAAGTGAAAACAATAAGAGACTTTCTTTTGTCTCCTTTATGCAGATGAACCTGCTGTTTTGGAGGCAGAAGACCTGGATCGAAAAGCCATGAGACAGGGAGGCGGACTGGAGCCAGACACAATCTCCTTGGCCTCTGTCACAGCTGTTACCACCAATGTCTCGAACAAGAGGTGAGGGCCAGATGTTGAGCTTGTGCAAGCCAGGAGGTGAGAGCACGCTGGCAGACACCTCACAACCGCGTGTCCCCCCGACCTGGAGTATGTTGGAAATCACATTGCCCCATGCAACTGGTAGTTTTTTGGAAATATGTGACCTGCTACAAAGAGCACCAATGTTGAGTGGTGTTTCACAGCCCCCAGGGTTTATATTCCTCAAAGAGGGCAGGAGCTTCGAGGGGTGACCCTGCAAATGCTCCGTCACAGCTTGCAGCAAGTCCATCTGTGGTTTGACGGAAGGTTTCTTCTGCCCCTCCAAAGGTCCAAGCCTGACATCAAAATGGAGCCGAGCGCTGGGAGGCCAATGGATTACCAGGTAGGTGACCACGTTGTGCCCCCCAACCTCAGCTCACGGGGGGTCACAACCCGGGGGTGGGGGGACCGTTTTGCAGGGAACAAGCTCGTGCTGGGTTTCAACGCACTGCACTCACAAAGCACGGCTTCCCAAGAGCTGCCATTTAAATGGTCTCGATAAACTCGAGATTAAGTAATTAACTGGTTTTGCTCTCCATTGTATGAGGCCTGGAAAGCCATGACCCATGCTGCTCACTTTTCTTTTACTAGTTGGTGCCAGTGTGATTCATAAATTGGCTCCTCTTCCCATTTTCGCCAAGTCGTGCTGATTCAGCAGCGATTTAGCTTTATGTCCTTGCCTCTCAGCACAGCAACACATTCCTGGGGATATCTCAGAACAATGGAAATAAAGATTTTTGTTAGAGATTTATTGCAGAACGTTTGCAGCATCTGCTGCAGACCAAATTGTGAGGCTTACAGAGAATGAGTGTGCTTGGTTCAGGAGAGGGGAACGTAAAGAACATAAAGAGGAGGGGGAAGGTGCAAAACAAATTGCAAGCAAGAGGCAGAAGGAACACAAGGTCCAGTGATTTGGCCACTGCAAACAGGAGGATCACAAGGTTGGTGTTAATGGGGAATGGTTTATTTCTGGAGGATAACAGGCTTTGCAGCACTAGGCTGGTTCATGAACAAGGTACATGGCTGGCTGACCTCCGAATGTCTGCTCTCCTTTGACAACTGGCTTTTGTGGAACATCTGAGAATAAAGAGGAAAGAACTTTATCTTTTAGGCCCCAGACCTGGGAAACCTCGGTCTGTGAGAGCAGAGGGGATGGGAGGCAGGGACAAAGTGTTAATGAAGGATGGTGCCCAGCAAAGTCATCTCCAGGAGCTGCTGTGGGTCAGGGCAGGGGTGGAGGGAAGGTTTGCAAGGCATGGAGTGATAGGACAAGGGGCATGGCCTGAAGCTGCAGGAGGGCAGATGGAGATGGGATGGAAGGCAGAAATCCTTCCCGGGGAGGGTGCTGAGCCCCTGGCCCAGGGTGCCCAGAGAAGCTGTGGCTGCCCCTGGCTCCCTGGCAGTGGTCAAGGCCAGGTTGGATGGGGCTTTGGGCAACCTGGGCTAGTGGAGGGTGTCCCTGCCCATGGCAGGGGTGGCACTGGATGGGCTGTGGGGTCCCTGCCCACCCAAACCAGTCTGTGAGTCTACAAATCCCTCTCCCCAGGTCAGCATCACTATCATCGAGGCCCGGCAGCTGGTTGGACTCAACATGGACCCCGTGGTCTGTGTGGAGGTTGGAGAGGAAAAGAAATACACGTCCATGAAGGAATCGACCAATTGCCCTTACTACAATGAGGTGGGTCTGTCCTTTGGTGATGCTCACAGCTACCCACTCCTTGGGGTCTACATTGCCGTTAGTCAATTAAATGTAATTTCTTGTCACTCGGGTTTTGTTGGTTTTTTTTCTTCTGTCACCTTTCATTGGATTAAGATGAAATCTCAAACCACGCAGAAGGAGAAATGAAGCCTTTGCCCTCTGGTATTTTGCAAAATGGTAAAAAGTGTACTCAGTTGATCTGTGCTAAATTATTCTCAGTTTTTCCAGTAGTGCTTCCTTCTAGTTGCTCACACTGCAGATGTTGTCAGTGTTGGGGCTCACACAGATCCGTCCCTGCTGTGACATGTGCTCCAGGATGCTCTTCCAGGCAGCCACAGCTTCTCCAGCTGCACTGTGCACCGTAACACTGTCTTTCGATCCAAAAGGAGCCCACCCCGGCTCTCCTGCCTTCACGACTGCTCTTCCCTTTCAGTACTTCGTCTTCGATTTCCACGTCCCCCCAGATGTCATGTTTGACAAGATCATCAAGCTGTCCGTAAGTGAGCATGGTTGCATTGTCCTTTTCGTGGGGCTCTGAAAGAAACCAGCCCGTTTTACCTGTGCACTGGGGATGGATTTAAGGTCTTTGACGTGAGACCCACAACAGGAGCCAAGGTGTTCGGTCCTACGAGCCTCCCCTCTTTTGCAGACCCCCAATCTCTCTTTCTGTCGCTGACCTTCACTGCTGGGGCCACACAGCTCCACTGCATTCGCTATCTCCCTCCATGGCTGATGTCTGTTATTTCAGAGAATTAAACCTGTCTTGGGATGTGTTTAGGCTTGGGGAGAAGCAAGACCTGCCCGATGATTTCCTGGGGCATGAGAGTGGCAGAGCTATTGTGGGAATTCAGGACTGCAGATGCTGAGAGCAAAGCAGAGGCTGCAGCCCTCCCCACAGCCACAGAGGAGGGCGATGAGCAAGATTTGCAGATTCACTGACCAAAACACACCAATTAGGAATATCCATATCTATGCCATGCACAGACTGGCTGTACAACTTCTCCCGCAAAGGGAATTAGACCATAGATTTCAAGCATCTTAAAGACCCTTCCTTCAGCTGAATGTCCCAGCATTTGTTACCATAGTGGCTGGAAGTCTGCATCTTGTTTCAAAGATTATTTTTATGTTTTGCATTTTTTTTCTATTCAATCCAAGTACACGCTTGCTTGCAAGACTGCTAAGCAAGAGCTGCCAACCCCACCATGCCTCTTAGTTTCCTTGTACAGAGCAAGGAAAACATATCAGCTCCTTTCCTGTCTGACACTGAACACCTCTGGAAAGAGCTTTATGGCTTCCAGGGCATGGAAAAAACTCTGACCTGTTTTCCCCTCTCGATTTCCAGGTGATCCACTCAAAAAACCTCTTGCGCAGTGGGACTTTGGTAGGCTCCTTCAAGATGGATGTTGGAACTGTTTATACCCAACCTGGTATGTAAACGCTGTTTGCAGCCAGTCCCATGTGCCTACCTGCACCATTGAATAAATGTCCTTGCAAGGTAGCCGGGCAGGTGCTAGTTTCCTTGGGTGATGCTTATCTAACTTAATTTTAGTATTGGGGCCTACAGGAAAGCTGGACTCTTTATCAGGGAGTGTAGTGACAGGACAAGGGGTAATGGGTTTAAACTTAAAGAAGGTAGATTTAGATTAGATATAAGGAAAATTTTTTTCCCTGTGAGGGTGCTGAGGCCCTGGCAGAGGGTGCCCAGAGAAGCTGTGGCTGGCCCCGGCTCCCCGGCCGTGGGGATGGGGCTTTGGGCAACCTGGGCTAGTGGAGGGTGTCCCTGCCCATGGCAGGGGTGGCACTGGTTGGGCTGGGAGGTCCCTGCCCACCCAAACCCGTCAGGGATTTGATGATTCTGTGATTTAGTATCCTATTCTGCACTCAGAAAAGAGCACTCAACACCTCTGGAGAAGGTTGTTGTTCCCATCCTGAAATATGGTGCTACTGCCAGAGGCTGAGGTGCCCTCTGGGTGTGCTGGTCTCTGTCCACCGACCTGCTGAGGAAGGAAGCTGAAGGTGACTTGCTTAGGCAAGATACCAGCCCTCCCTACAGCAGAGGGTCGTGGGCTGGATCTTGCCCTCTGTGGCTGGCATTTAAACCAAGAAAGGAAGATGCCTGGTGTGCAATGAAGAAAAGGGAGAGGTTGATTAGAGCTGCTGTTGTGTTGCTCACTGATGATAAACAGGACAACAATGTCTCTTTGAGGGCCCGGTGCTCGCAGCGTGCTGGAGCTGAACCTGTGAACACCCCTTCAGAAATGATACTCCAAAATCCCTGCAGGTTTTTGGTTTTCCTTGCTCCTATGTCACACCTATTGCAGCACCCTGCCTCTGTAAATAAGCCTGAGAGCTACGATGCAAATGGAGCTTCCAGAGTCTGCACTTCAGGGATGGTCAGCAGATGATGCTGGGGGGACCTTTAGGGAGCGTCTAGTCTGGTTCTCTGCTCCACAGAAGGATGAAGTCTTTCTAACACTGTCCAAAAGGCACTTGGGGCCTTAAAGACTTAGAATCATGGAATCATTTAGGTTGGTAAAGACCCCTAAGATCACTGAGTCCAACTGTTAACCTCACACTGCCAAGCCCACCACTAAACCATGTCCCTAAGCACCACATCTACACGTCTTTTAAATACCTCCAGAGATGGTGAATACCTGCAGGAACGGTGACTTCCAGTGATGGAGACTCCACTCCCATTCAGTTTATCCCATTGCTTCTCCGTCTTTAACATGAGATAGATACATCTTTCTAATGAATTTTTCAGAGGTTTCTGTCTGAATGCCTCACGTGTGAAGATGTTTCTTATGTGTGTGTGCAGGTCCTCCCACTCGAGTGGAATGACTTTTCTAGTCCTTGCAGTAATTGCTGTGTCTCATTCTGAGGAATGACTGTGTTGTCTCCTGGCTTCCAGAGCACCAGTTCTACCACAAATGGGCCATCCTTTCTGACCCCGAGGATCTCACCGCCGGGCTGAAAGGTTACCTGAAGTGTGATAGGGAAAGGGGACAACATCAAGACACCACACAAAGCCAATGAGACGGACGAGGATGATATTGAAGGGTAAGGATCTGCAGAGCCAGCTTCACATAACCTTCCTTGGGAGTGACTTTTCATGTCACTTCACCTTGGATTGTGCAATGAGGACAGCATCACTTCTGGATGAGGCTGACAGACTTACCGTGTGGAATGAAACCAGAGGCACCAAATAAGTTGCTGACAAGAGAGAACATGTGGCAGATTACTGGTGCAAATCCAGGTTGTATCAAGTACAAACCAATCATTTCTATCAGGTCAGACCATCTGCTGGTTGTTGAGCTTGGGCGTTCAAGTCTATCTCTCAGCATCTCACCACATAGTCAGAAACCCAAAGTCACAAAATACCAATGCAGCTCTCTTGACTTGCTGGGAACCCAGGGGCTCAAGGCACCACCTCCACTATTTTGGGCCATTGTTCCATGCTGTAGTGGTGATATTATCCCACTTTTTCATGGACAACTCCAGCAATTCATCTAGAAATTGGTTTGTTCACAGTATCTCCCATGGCTCTCATTTCTTCCCCCAGAAGAGGAAAGCCACATACACCAAGAAAAAAAATTTGATGGAGTTCAATTCTCCCCAAAAATAATCACCCCAGCTCCCCTTGTACCCTGATAAAGAAAAAAGGCTCTTCTAACATCCTGTTCATCTGGCGTGCTTTAGATGCCAAAATTAGGCTGAGTGTAATTGTCCTCTAGACTCCACTGACAAGAATGATTACATTCCTTTAGTGGAACGCACATTGTCCCAGGGGCACCTAACGGGCTCCTCTAAGCTTTTGCTTCCAAAACCGCCACTCCCCACCCCAAAACAGGAGGATAGGCAGAAACAGAAGACCAATAAAATGTACGGCTGCAGAAATAAACCGCCACTCCCCACCCCAAAACAGGAGGACAGGCAGAAACAGAAGACCAATAAAATGTACAGCTGCAGAAACGGTCGTCTTTCCACCTCTACAGAGCCTGTGCTCAGAAAACAGGGCAGCTTCTCCCTCTTTGTTAAGCCTCTCCTGACAAACCTGCCAGGCCCAGCAGCTGTTTCCAACCCTATCTGTTGATGTTGCAGGAACCTCCTCCTCCCAGATGGAGTTCCTCCAGAGAGGCAGTGGGCTCGTTTCTACATCAAGATCTATCGAGCCGAGGGGCTGCCCCGTATGAACACCAGCATCATGGCCAATGTGAAGAAGGCTCTCATTGGGGAGAACAAGGACCTGGTAGACCCTTACGTGCAGGTGGTCTTTGCAGGGCAGAAGGTGAGCAAGTTGCATGTGATACCGGGGTGACCCTGGGAGGTAACATGAGCAGGACCAGACATTGTACAGGTGGCCAGAGATGATCTCAGTTGTCCTGGCATGTAGATCCTGAGATGCAGGGCAAAGCCACCTTGTTTGCTACGTTTTCCCTCTCTCGTGCAGACTGTGATGGGTTTGCAGCACTCTCCAGTTGAGGAAAGGAGCTTGTTACTTGGGAGAGGAGAGTCACAAGACAGAATGCATGTTTCGGTGGTCATTAGCAAGTGAGCAGTTCAGGTTGTGAGGGATGGCTTGGGACCTCAAACCCTTGTCTAACATCTACCTCCTCCCACTCGGCAGGGGAAGACATCCATACAAAAAAGCAGCTATGAGCCTCTCTGGAATGAGCAAATAGTCTTCACAGAAATGTTCCCCCCATTGTGCAAGCGGATAAAGATCCAGATCCGAGACTCAGACAAAGTCAATGATGTGGCCATTGGTACCCATTTCATTGATTTGCGGAAGATCTCTAACGAAGGAGACAAAGGTAAAGCTAAGGTGGCGGTCAGACTAAGCTACCTTCTTCCCAGTAGAGAGACATACCTTTGGCAGAGAGTCAGCAAAATAGCCTAGACTCCTTCCCCACCCCTAGAGATGGCCAGTTCTTGGGGAACAGCTGGAGAGGCTTTGATTCACTGCAGTGGTCTTCAAAGGTCACTGGGCATGGGCTCTTTGAAAACTAAGCCCTATCCCAAGCCTCCAATCTACCACTGGAAAGCAAAGACACTCAAGAACATAAATTCATTGCCATGAATGGATGACTATCTGACAGGCTCCCTCATTCACGCACACATGAAGACACCAGCATGCACAGGCAGGACCAATGTGAAACCAAAGATGGATCTAGAAAGGGAACTAATGGGAGGTTCTTTTTTCTTGACTCTCACATTGGGAGACTCATTCAATGGGAGACTCACCTCTGTCTTTGGGCTGGTGCACTGCGCAGTCCCCGTCACTGCCTCCATGTATGGTTGCATTCCCATGCACATTCCCATGCACACACGTGCATATTCAAGCCTGCATCACCATGCACAGACCTGGAAAGTGATGCCAATCCATGAGTGAGATTGTACCCTGAGGCAAAGACATGCCCTCCTCTTTGCACATCCCCTTCCCTACATGCGTGTCCGATCTACTGCAGGCTTCCTGCCCACCTTTGGCCCCGCATGGGTGAACATGTATGGATCCACTCGGAACTACACCCTGATGGACGAGCACCAAGAGCTGAATGAGGGTCTGGGTGAAGGCGTCTCTTTCCGAGCCAGGCTTTTGATGAGCCTTGCCGTGGAGATCTTGGACACCAGCAACCCGGAGATCAACAGCTCCACTGAGGTGCAAGTCGAGCAGGCTACATCAGTTGCCGATGTAAGTCGCCCCTAACCCTACAGCTGCCAGTGGTTTGGTCTCTCTTGGTTGATTATCTCTGGTATCACGAACTGAGGATTTCATTTTGTGTGGCCCTAAATGTTCTGGACCTCTCAGCACAATGAAAGCAAATCTTGCAAGGATTTCAGATTTTAAGATTGTTCAAATGTTCACCTCTCTTAGGAGTGCTGGGCAAAAGGAATATCTGAGTGAAGGAAGATCCTAAACTTTGAGATGTTTCTCCAGTTGGGAGTTAGACAAGGATAAAGAGCCATCTCCTAATGCCAGCTGTCTCACTCCTATCCTGAAGATGAATTTCAGAGAGAAGCCAAGAATCTAATCTATTTCCCAACCGATTCTGGCAGGGTAGAACTGGTCAGAGAAATTGAACGGCTGTTTCCTGACAGGAGAAGTCCCACAGTATTAGTCCTGGCATGTAAAGCCTGCAGGGCTGCTGTCTGTGCTCTGCCTAGACAGACACATCCAGGCTGGTCCTACCTGGGGATGCCTACATATGTCAGTCCGTATGAGCCAAGGGTGCGAAGCAGAAATGAGAAGTCTGATGGCAATGCACCCTCTATGTGAAAGCTCTCCTTCACAAGTGCCTTAATTCAGTTCCAGGGGAAATGGAGCCACCTGGAAATAAAGCCATGCCAGTTCTGAAAGCATCCACGCAGATGGTTCAGTGTGCTTTGATTAATTCAATTCATGGGTGAGCTCAGGCTCCTGTTCCTGAATGTCCATTAGACAGTCCCTCACGTGCAAGGGCTAACTGATCTCAGCACATTTAAAAGTTAAGCTAAAATCTTTAATTAAACTCTCTCTGCAATGAGCCTAGAGATGGCTCAGGCTGGGGGGAGAGAAAACCCTCATGGTCCCCTTGAAAGCCCGAGCAGTGACGTCTCACCTGCAAAAAGCCCATGAAGGGTGCTCAGAGATGCCAGGTGATGCACCCCTATGCCCAAGGGGACCTGTCCTCTGAGGTGTCCCTCTGGCTGACCTCAGCCCTGATCCCTGGGATTTCTCCTGCAGAACTGCACTGGGAAGATGGAGGAGTTCTTTCTCTTTGGAGCCTTCCTGGAAGCTACCATGATCGACAGGAAGATTGGTGACAAACCCATCAACTTCGAAGTTACAATAGGTTGGTTGTTTTTTGGGGAGGGTGGTTTTGAAGTATGCCTGGTGTGGAATACAAGATCCACGGCTGAGAGCAGGATTTCTTCCCCATTTTCCATACCAACACGTGCCAGAGCATGCAGGGCTCTCAGTTTAGGGAGAAGGTGATGACTGTTTTACCAGCACAAGCTACTCAGGGCCCCAAATCATAATTTATGGTTCTATTTCACTAATTTATAATTCCTGGGCATGGTTTCAGAGAGTTGAACTCTGCTGTTCCTCCTGGTTCCTGCAGAGAAAACTTCTCCCCAACAGGAATTAAAGCCAAGAGATTGAGCCCGATTGGAGTTACAACCCTGTGACTTTATTTCACATTTTTTTCTTGAGGTAACTATGGGAACCAGATCGATGGCATGACCAAACCTAACTTGCGGAGGAAGAAAGAGGGAGGGGATGGGGATGAGGAGGAGTCCGAGCTGCTCCAGAACTCAAGTGAGGATGAAGGTGATGAGGATGGAGAGCTGGTCTCTGTTTCTTCATCTCAACCCGTGAAGCCCCTGGTCACAGACAGGTAAGCGTGCCCACCTGGCCACTGCAGTGCCACTGGGCAGAGATGTGGCTCTTGATTCAGACATGGTCTGAGGTGTTCCACATGTGCTGGGTGGAAGGAATACAAGGAAGATTAGAGGACTGGAGCATCTCTCTTATGAGGAAATGCCAGCAATGTGCCCTCGTGGCCAAGGAGGCCAACGGTGTCCTGGGGTGCACGGAGAAGAGCGTGGCCAGCAGGTCGAGGGAGGTTGTCCTCCCCCTCTGCTCTGCCCTGCTGAGGCCACATCTGGAGTTGTGTGTGTCCAGTGCTGGGCTCCCCAGTTCCAGACAGACTGGGAACTACTGGGGAGAGTCCAGCGGAGGGCTGCGAGGATGAGGAGGGGCCTGGAGCATCTCTGGTGTGAGGAAAGGCTGAGAGAGCTGGGGCTGGTTAGCCTGGAGAAGAGAAGGCTGAGAGGCGATCTGATCCACACTTACCAATATCTAAAGGGTGGGGGTCAAGAGGACGGGGCCAGACTCTTCTCAGTGGTGCCCAGTGACAGGACAAGGGGCAACGGGCACAAACTGGAACACGGGAAGTTCCATCTGAACGTGAGGAAAAACTTCTTCCCTGTGAGGGTGACCGAGCCCTGGGACAGGCTGCCCAGAGAGGTTGTGGAGTCTCCTTCTCTGGAGAGATTCCAAACCCGCCTGGACACGATCCTGTGCGACCTGCTCTGGGTGATCCTGCTCTAGCAGGGGCTTAGACTAGATGATCTCCAGAGGTCCCTTCCCACCCCAACCAGTCTGGGGTTGTGTGGGTGTCCAAGCTCCCACCGCTGTCTGCAGAGGTGAAGTCAGTGCTGTCAACGGGGCCTGGAATCATTCGGCCAAACAGACCTGGGAGCAGCAGTGGGGACCAGATCTCCATGCCCTGTAAAGGGAGATTAGATACCATGTGTAGATACCTTGGTTTAGATGCTACAGTCTGCCAGCTGAACCCCCACCTGCCATTCTGAGCACTGATGTCCAATAAAGGCTGAATTCACCTCCCAGGCTACCCTACAAAGGACATCCTTCATCCACCTGGCCAGATGTGCACCCAAAACTCAAGGCTATCTCATACCCTTAGTGCTCTTCCCCTACGGCAAATAGGGACAAAGTTAACCAGTGGATTGAAAAAGTCATTGGTGGACACTGAAAAAACCCCAAGTTTGCTGCTGTAAATATAAGTCTTGTATGTTTAGGAAACCAGTCTATAAAGAGGTCCTTCCCCAGGATCAATGCCACCCTTGGTGGCACAACCTCGTACTGCACATCACGGAGGAGAGGTCTGGGCTTCGCATCTGTGCTTTCTCTAGCTGCCCAACATGTAAAAACATCGTGAGCACCATGTGGAGAAAGGGAAAGGTCCCTCTAGAGATAAGGCATAGATTTCAGAAGTGAGGGCAATGCGTGCTAAGACAAGGTGCGTTTCTTAAAAGCTAGGCAAGGTCACAGACACGCAGAGGGGAGAGGATGCAAAAACTGCTGGGAAAAGTTCTTGAGAATGTGTTAAGCAGGAGATTGGGGTAAAAGACTTAAACTTCTCTCACTCTCCCTAGTTTGCAGCATTTTGGTCAGTCTGTCCCCATTGCTTACTGGTGTTTAACTGAACCAGGACTCAGGAAAGTGGGTCCTACCCTGGGTCCGTGGATGCACAGCTGGTTGTAGGTGCACAAATCACTTCTGCCTCAGTTTCTCCAGCTGTAAATTAAGACAATTTTTTTGTGTCTGCTTTACAAATTGATTTGTGATGTGCAGGTAGCAGTTACCCTACAATACAAATGAAATCCAGACAGCTGCAAGTGTGATTCCGTGGGTACTTTCTGTGCCAAGCAGCCGGACCAGAAAGCCCCAAACTGAACGGGATCAGCACACGTGTCTCAGCCACAGCCTGGATTTGAATACAAAGGACTAGTACTAAGGAAAGCTGATTGGATTTAACCTGATGAGATATGCTTAAAGTGGATTTTAACCATGTTACACCAGTAGATAGATGTTAATAGAATTAGCTGGCTGACTTAATTCAATTGGGAAGTGAAACAAACCATGCTGAACTCAGGGTATGTGCACTCAAAGTGTCTGCCTGGGGTTCCCTCACTTGTTCACCAAATCCTTGTCAAGGTGAATGCCGAATGGAGATGAGAAGCAGCGATGGTTTTTGAGCCTGTGCCCTGGGCTCTGCCTCTCATGCTCTCTCCCTCACATCTCCATCGTGCTGGAGACCTCACGCTCAGCCATGGGTCTCTGCTGACATCTTCTGGCTGGAAGTACCTCCATGGCTTCAGAAGGATGAGGGGTGATCCCTGGAAATACCCCCATGGCTTTGGAAGGATGAGCTGAAGCTGGTTTTTAACTCAGGGTGATCCCAGGTGCAGCAGGATCTGCAGTGGATGGATCCCAGCTCATGGCCACTCCTCAGGCATCCAAGAAGCATGAACCCATTCTTCAGCCTCATCCTCCCTTTAACTGTACCACGGCTATTACCACTCCATCCCACCAGCACGTGGAAACCTGTCAGCGGTGCAAAGGGCAGAGACCTCTGCCTGCTGTGAAAGCCAGGGCACTATAGGAGGTGCTCACCAGCGTTCAGAAAAGGGTGTTGAGGCTTCGGTTTCCTGCTGCTGCCTCGCTGGAGATGTTTGATCTCTGCTGGGCTATGGGTGAGGTCGTGGGAGTAGGAGCTTCCCTGGTTTCTCTCTGGGCCAACAGGTCTGAGATGGTAAATTTGCAATCCCTGGGCACTGCACCCATCCACCCTGGGTCTGGCGTTGGGAAGGGTGCTAGGAGAGCTGGAGCCTCTGTCCTTCAGGGTGCAATTCACCTCAGCATGCCCCCTTTCCCACACCTCACCTCATATATACCCCCCTTCTCCATCACAGCGTTGCCTCCTCAGGAGAGGTATGGGACAGGGGCTGGGAACGTTACCACCACGGAGCATCTCTTCTGCCTCCTCTTGCAGGAACTACTTCCACCTGCCGTACTTTGAGAAGAAACCCTGCATCTATATAAAGAGCTGGTGGCAGGACCAGCGCCGCAGATTGTATAATGCCAACATCATGGACAAGATCGCGGACAAGCTGGTCAGTACGTCATGGGAGAGAGGGAGGGAGGAAGACAGTTTGGGGCTGGCGTGAAGCACATCCAGGCTCCCTGTGCATCTCTGCAGCTTGTCACAAAGCAGGGACGAACAGTGCAAGGACCCACTAGCAAACGTGCCAGAAAGGGGGGAGCTTCCCAGTGCATAATGCTCTGCAATTTGAATGTCCAAATCGTAGGAGCTCATTGAATTTTCTGTGGGTCAGACCCAGGTGTCCCCACCAAAGGGAGCAGGAGTAGGGAGGCTTTGCCTGCCTGGACTGCAGGGGTGAACCACTTGTCTGGCAGAGACACCTTAATAGTCTCAGCTAATTCCCAAGGAGCCTTTGTGACAGCTCCACGTGTGCAGAGTCACAGCAGGATCTGCAAAGGGAGAGCCTGGCAGGTCCAGCCAAGATGGTGTAGACCTTGGCCAGCTAGCCTCATGGCAGTCAGTGGAGCCATTCCCATCACCCGGAGCCAGGTCCCTGCAGCCAAGTACGTGCCAGACCTGAGCCCTGAGGCCAACAGGTCTGGAGGAGCAGCAGATTTTTCCCACTGGCAGCCCCCACAGGGATGCTCTATGCAAGGTTGGACCTCAGGGGGGACCTTGCCCCACCATGGGACTCTGCCCCACCGCCCCCTCATTGCTTCGCCCATCACCGCTGCAGGAGGAAGGGCTCAACGACGTGCAGGAAATGATCAAGACGGAGAAGCCACATCCAGAGCGCCGGCTCCGAGGAGTCCTGGAGGAGCTGAGCAATGGGTGCTTGTGAGTAAAAGATGGACAAAGGTGGCACATTGCAGACCCCTGCTCTCTGCGGGGCTACAGGCAAGGTTGTGAGTGTAAACTCACCTTGCCTTATGCTCTGGATGATGGGCAAGCATTTCATCACGTTGGCAGAATGCCGTATCAGCTGCCTTCTGGCTTGGAGCATGGGTGAGGTGGTGCTTACATCTGCACCCCAAAGACTCCAAACCAGTGGTGAAAGCCCCAACCTTGTGGCCTCCACAGGCTGGTACCTGATCAGCACCTACACCCCATGTGTGACGCTCGGCATTGGGTGCAAACAGGTCACTTGGCCGCGATATTGCGTTGCAGATTAGGGGGAGACAAGGGCATTTCCCTCCAGTGATGTGTCCTGCTGCTGGCAGAGGTCCATCCAGCCATGGCTCCTTGAGGAGAGCCCACGGGATTCATGCTGCCAACCTTTTCCAACAGGCGCTTCGTGACCTTGGCTGACAAGGACCAGCACCACTCTTCCCGCACGAGGCTGGACCGGGAGAGACTCAAGTCCTGCATGCGGGAGCTGGTAAGTGGGATTCAGCCAGGCGGGGAGGAGGATTCATGAACGGGGGCTGGACCTTATCGATGCAGTGGGGAACTTTGGTCCTTAGGCATGCTGATTTCCAGTCTCTGTGGATCGAGGGTTTGGGGTTTATTTCTGCAAAGCAGAGCTCAAGAGTTGGGTCCCAGGTGGCACTTGGGTCCATGCTGCTGCCTCCCCTCCACCGCACTCTGCTTTTCCTTGGAAAGACATCCAGGGGTACAGAGGCGGAGCTGCATTGCTGTCAAACAGCTGAGGAAAGGGGGCAGGAGTAGTTATGGGGAACCCTGCAGAGCACAGCTGCTCCAGGGGCAGATATGGCTTAGATGTTTGGGGCTGGTAGCCCAGCAACTTGCAAAGGGGTTGGATGTGCAAAAGAGATGTACAAAGAGTGGGTGGCTTATCCAGCTGGCGCAGCCAAGGACATCAGCTTCAGTAGCCAGCTGCATACTGGAGAGTGACGAATTTTAACATGTGAAAGCCTCCACATCCCCTTTTCTGCACTGTGAGGTGCTGAATTACAGCAGGGTCAGCAGAAAGGGAGACACTATCCTTAACACCAAGCTTGAAGCCACCCCAAAATGCCCTAAGCACAGCTGACACCTCTCTGTCCTGCGTACCTTCCGCTGGGACAGTCGTCTCTGCGCTGTCAGGGGCCCTCCCTGCATCCTGCCAAGGTTGATGAATGGGTGTCAGAAGTACCATCACCAGGATGCACATGGTGGGATTAAGGCATCCGCCTCCTCACCACCCCTTGTCAAACACCAGGGACCTGCCTGGTGCTGCTCCCTTCTCCGTGCTCTGTTCTGCTCTCACTTACTTGATGTCCTGGGCTCCCCTTTAACCGCAGGAGAACATGGGGCAGCAAGCCACGACTCTGCGGTCACAGGTGAAGAAGAACACCATGAAAGACAAGCTGAAGCTGGTGCAAAACTTCCTGCAGAAGCTCCGGTTCTTGGCAGACGAGGTGAGTCCCTCTGCACGGAGAGAGGGTGTTAGCTGGGTCAGCACATGGTGACAGCAGCCTGCGATGGATGGAGACCTCTCTGCAAACCCTGCAAGCAGGAGAGGTCCCCAGTGGCCCAGGTCTTGTGCAAGGAGCCTCTCCAAGTCTATGCATTGCCTCATGCCTCCCGGGCTTGCTCGTGCACTGCTGGGTTGGAACGAGTCAGCGCTAAAATAAACTCAAGAGACGTTCCCAGCCGGTAACAGAGCTGGGTCCTCTTGCAGCTGAGCTGAAGGCATTTCTGCCAGCCTCAGCCATGGCAAGGCCATGCAATTCCCTGGGGGATCAGTCATCAGAAGGTGGCACATGTCCACGCAGCGTTAAAATCAGCAGCAGGGAGCTGATTCTGATCCTGGCTAGGTAGGGAGTTGTTAAAGTAAGTGGCTCTTTGAAGGGCCGTGGGATAAAGCTCTGTCCTCTTGCAGAACTCAAACCGTCTAATTTTTATTGCTGCAGCATACTCTTGCTTCACTCCAGCTCACGGGTAAGAGATAATAGTCCAGTATATTAGAGTTGCTCCCAGCATTTCCAAAGAAAATATTTTCCAAATATCTGCAAAATATTTTTTCCTTCTTTCAGAAAATTATACCATTCCTCTGATATGTTTTGTTTAGGACTGGGTCTGCCATTGGGGGTTACTGGCCCACATGGGAGCTGTGGTTGCATCTCCTGTTCTCATTTCCCATGGCAGGCTCCCAGCCTCAACTACATATCCCTTGTTCCAGCAAGGCCTTCCTTGGCTCTGACTCACCACAGTGGAACATAAACCAGGCTATAAGGTGTGATGGGACCTGTCCAGACAGGGAACTTCTTCCCTAGTAAGGAATGAAGGTATGGCCCCAGCCCTATAGTCCCCATGGCCACTGAATGAAGAGAAAAGGAAAATATTTAGTCTTCTAATCAAATTTTTTTTTAAAAAAAAACTAGAACAAATGTAAATCCCAATTTCTTTCCTGCTAGGCTTCACACTGCTGAGCTTATCTCTGAGCAGCTTTTCTTAAGCAGAAAAGCTTCTGCAGTGGGAGGCTCAAAACCATTTCAATGGCCTCAATGTGACAATACGTACATCCATCTCCTGTGGCATCTCTTGAATTTGCCTTCAGAAGGTCTCCAGCCCTGTTGTGCCTCAGGGGTCCGAAAGAGCTGAGACACTGACAGGGCTCTTCGCTGGTGTTCACAGCCCCAGCACACTATTCCCGACATCTTCATCTGGATGATGAGCAACAACAAGCGCATTGCCTATGCCCGCGTCCCTTCCAAGGATATCCTCTACTCCATTGTGGATGAGGAGATGGGCAAGGACTGCGCCAAAGTGAAGACCATCTTCCTCAAGGTGCCCGTCTGTCTTCCCTGGGGGAACCGCAGCCAAGAGGAGGGAGGTGGAGGAAGGACAGACTGGGAGGATGGGAGATGGAGATGAGAGTGCTGTGTATCTAGTTTTGCTGGGACTTGAGTACTAGGCAAAACAGACCCATAGTCTACTGGTAGGGGTTGAAGTTTGCTGCTAGAAGTGTGAACCACTCATCTTAACCAGTGTGGTAAGTGAGAAATGTCTGGAAGGAGAGAGATGTTTGATCCAGCTGGCCACAAAAGAGGATGCTGGCTTAGAAAGAGGAAGCCAACATGGTGAGAAGAAGCTAATGCATGAGACAGAGTAGTGTCATGATCCAACATGGTGAGGGCTGGGTCCCAGTTTTAAGGGGCAGCAGTAAATGCAATGCACCAGAAGGAGTTGAATGCTGCGAGAGGTGGTCTATCCATCTCTAAGGCCTTCCCTATATCCATGTAAACTCTTCTGTCCTTTGTGCCCAGCTACCTGGGAAGAGGGGGTTTGGACCTGCTGGCTGGACAGTTCAGGCCAAGATGGAGATGTACTTGTGGCTGGGCCTCAACAAACAGCGCAAAGACTTCTTGAGTGGCCTGCCCTGTGGCTTTGAGGAGAAGAAAACTGCCAGAGGCCAAAACCTGCCATCCTTCCCACCCATCAGCCTCCTTTACACCAGTAAGAACTTCCTGCCTGCAGTGGGTCTGGGGACAGGAGATGGAGAGGGCAGGAGGGAGCCTGGCTGGACACCACTTGGACCAAGGGCTTCCAGGAGCTAAGGGGGAAATATTTCCAGTTGTCTCAGTCTGGGGTCCCCCACTGCTCCCATGGGGAGCTGGGGTGTGGGAACTGTGCACCTTCTTCCTTACCCTGTTCATAGCTGTCATTCTGCATATGGCGAGCAGGACGCCGAGGAAGTCGTATTCATTTGGGACTCATGCTTTGAACCTATATCCTTCAGCAGTGCTGGCCCTGAGCAGAAGTGTACCCCTGAGACCTCGTTCTGCAGGATGACCCCCATGGCTGGGCTCCAGGCTCACGTATCAAGTTGTCCCACTTCCCCTCTCTCTTGCAGAGAAGCAGGTTTTCCAGCTGCGAGCCCACATGTACCAAGCCAGGAGTTTATTTGCGGCCGACAGCAGTGGCCTTTCAGATCCCTTTGCACGAGTCTTCTTCATCTCCCAGAGTCAATGCACCGAGGTAAACACCATCTCCTGACCTGCAGGGCTGGGCTCTGGCTTTGCATGTCCCATCAGCTCTCCATCCTGCTCCCCTGCTGCAGGTTTCGTTACTGCTAGTGAATCATGGATTAGGTTGATCATGGGGTCCTGGGGTGTGGAAAACAGTTGCGGCACGTGGGCTTGACTGTCTCCAGGAGCCCCTTCCCCATAAGCACCTTCATAACATGTCCCCCTGCACCAGCACACAGGTATCCCACATCCCTGTGGCTGTGATCCACCTGCTTGGTTAGGAGAAACTGGAGCATGTTGAAGTGGGTTTTGTATCGTCCCCTCCTGAGATGAGGGCTGCCAAGTTTTAGCAAGCCTGGTGGACACTGGGAATGATTTGTGTCTGCATGCCTGCTGTTGGGTTGTTGGGGTTTTTTTCTCAGAAGAATCCTTGGGAGATACCCCATGGCTCACTTGTCCAAAAAAATGTGCAGCAGCCCACTAGTGTTGCCAGGCAGCTGAGGTCAATGCCCTGTCTGCTGCCCTTGCCCCTATCTGGAGCAGTAAGTATCTCCTATTCTCCTATTCTTCCAGGTTCTCAATGAGACCCTTTGCCCAACCTGGGACCAGCTGCTGGTCTTCGACAATGTGGAGCTGTATGGAGAAGCTCATGAGATGCGAGATGACCCTCCCATAATTGTCATTGAGATCTATGACCAGGACACAGTGGTAAGATGAATCCCAGCAAAGGAAAATGTTTATGATTTAGATGCTGCAATCTCTCCTGAGTCAGACGCCAGGCAGATGGTGCAGAAGATGTGAGAAGCAGCTTTTCCCCTGACCCTTGGAAGATGGTCCCCCTCACATCTTCCATGGCATGGACTAGGAGCTTCTGCTGCTGAGAAGATCTCAGACTCAACTTAATGATATCTTGGTTTTGGAGAATGAAGCAAGAGCTTTTGTGAGGCTGGAGGCAAGGAGATGTTACCTGAGTCTTTCCCTTTAGAACAGCTGCTCGGCCCTGGCCTCCTTGCTGTCCTTCCTTCACCTCAGCCCTAGGTCACCTCCTTCATAGAATCATTGAATAGTTTGAGTGGGAAGGGACCGTTAAAGCTCATCTAGTACAGCTGCTCTGCCATGAGCAGGGACATCTTCAACTAG